GGCACCAAACCTAAGGCACCGAGAACAACGGACAGTCGGACAACTTGGAACTTGGGATGCATTTCGAAAACGAGGTCCGCATATTTGCCATGTTTTTCCTCAATCTTGCCAATCACGTTAGTGTCAAAAGGGAGAGAAAATTCAATGATATAAATGATTTCATGTGATTTATCAAAAAGGACAAGATAAGGTTTAGTGGCCTGGATACGTCTGAGGCTGTAAGCGGGCCTATTCCAAAGAATTTTGTATTTATCATTTTCCATGTCGCCCTCTACATATTCCGGGTCGTTCCATGGATGGACCTCTGTGTCAAAACCACAAGCATGGCGAAGACGGTTATAAAATGATCGAGCTAAACCATCATGTCGCTTAAGATACTGTGTTAAAGTTACCACAATACATTGATGTTCCTAAATAAATAACATTACCTTCGTTGCTTAAGGGTTGTCAGATCTTGCAACTCGAGCACTCCCTTCTACATGTCTCGCTATCTGCACTCTGCGCGTATTGATGTGAATGTATTGACGGACATATCCATAAATTAATGATCCTCGGTTTGGGCAGAGTTCTTTATGCACCAGTCAACAAATATTTTTAACGCCATGAAGACCATGATCATGACTTTATTTATTTTAATAAATACATATGAGCTTCCAATACATTCATATCTACCCCAATAGTCAGTACACCAACTGTAGTAAGCCCTTGCATCCACCACTATGTACTTTAATTACTGATATTGCTTACATGAAAAGATGTCCGATGCCCGCCCTTATTTTGTCTTGTACCATATATACTCGTGTTTGTTATATGATAACATTTGATTTGCCTTTGCATGTGTTTGTGACGGGTGCCACCGGTGAGGCAGGATACAGTCACCTTTTCGCGAACACCTGGTGTCCTCAATAGTTGATAGCGATTCAAAAAAATGCTAATGATATAGTCGGAATCGAACAGTGTAAAGATTATATAGTATTATGGAAATTATTTCGTCGCTTTATGTTTATTTGAAAATCTGAAATTTGAAGCACCGCAGGGTTTGGAGGTAATTCCTTGACTGTCGACACGATTCCCACGATGACAAATTTCCCCAAAGTTGTGAACGTCGGCGACCTGCATCAGCTGTGACGTTCCTCCTGTGTTAGGCTGAGATCGTTAGGATCGACTATCACCCCAACACACTCACTCACACAATCCTATAAATCAGTATGTCTCCCTGCAAAAGCTGGATTTACAAAAAATCATCCACGTGATATGATTATTCTTGATGTTATTCAGGTTTTAAGATCTGTAAAACTTTCAGGAGATATTTCAACCTTGATCCGGTTCCGTGTACAAGGAAACTCGATTAATCCGAACAGTTAACAGCAATATTGGTCTTGAAGGCAAGGGTTCCATATTAACAGGGTCTGGACAGATTCAACTGAACGTATTATCAGGAGCATTTGTTGAGCATTAAGTACTTAATAATTTATACGACAGATGAAATTTCCAGTATCACTGACTTGATCGATAAACACTATCAGTTATTGGAGATAACCTCTGTCTTCAAGACAAACATAAAAGATATGAATTTCAGATAAACGAAAAGAACCATGCTCTTAAGCACATAACGAATATGATACACTCATCGCTCTTGAAACAACCTTTAAGAAAACGTACGTTTCTGCTTCAGAAGTGGCGGAGTATTGTGGTAACCTTGTGGATGTGCCTTTGAATGTTAATGCAGTGGGTTTTTTTTCAATCTTTCTTTGTTAAGTAAGGGCACGATGGCTCGATGTTCTCCAAAGTGGTAAACGTCGGCGACCTACATCAGTTTAGACGTGGAGACCCTACGTGTATGTTCTTGGCTGCTTGTACTAGTCCGGACTGATGCCGATTTATGCACCCACTGAGATACCATGCAACAGTCTAACATGAAATACCCACTCAGACACAGTATACCGAGCCGACTGGTCCTTGTTTAAGCCCCGTAATGCCATCTTTTAACGTCTTTTGGTATGATGCGCCCAGGGATCGAACCCCGGACCTTCCGCTCTCCGGGCGGACGCTCTACCACTAGACCACGGAGGCGGTCGATTTGACTAATGAATGATTGCTGTGTTGACAAGAGCTGAGCTGGTAGTTCTAATTGAAGTTATTTCTGTATTGTTCTCTGCGATGATCGACCCGAAGTTCCATTGATAGCTATATAAATAAATGTCTCCTACATAATGGTACCGTCGACCTACGGGTAATCACGTCAATATTTTATGATGTGTCTACAGATCAGGTTACATATGACGTTACGCATTATTACTCTTACTACGAAGAACAATCGAACGACTTTACAACGCTATAACCATGCATTCTGTCATATGAACCAGGTTGGTTACACATATGCATATGAAATTCACTGATAATGCAGTTGGTTAACAATGGTATTTCTAGTCACGCATATCCACGTAATAAACTACGAAGCAAAAGAACGTATACACTTAAAAATTGGATTTGACCAAAAAATTACAAACGTTAATAGGTTGAAAACAGTTAACGAAACACTGCTCACTTAAGGTAAAAACGCAGCAACGATACCTGTATCAAATACATCACTATCGAATAAGCATTTCTTGTTTGACAATGTTCTTTAGCCACCTTCATACATCGGTGTATGTCTTCTTTCGCCTAGTACTGTAGTTTCAGTGAAATGATTGTCCTGGCGCAGTTTTGCAATGCTTACATTCAAATGTAAGGAAATAAATGATAATGTTCACTCTCATTAACGTATTCAAATCATGCATTATGAACAGGGAAAGGTTACTTACACGAATATTTGTGTTATAGTGCAAACCATTTCAATACTTTTACTTAAATAGTGCAAACCATTTCAATACTTTTTTAACATTTCATTTGTCTAAATACCTAACAGGTTCAATATGTTTCCAAGTGCACCGAAATTCTATGCCCTTTGTTTAATATATTCAGCAAACATTCGACGTATCCTCTCTTATCATAAGCCCCTCCGGGCAGGACCCTTAATCTCCAGGGCTATCTATAAATTTCAATTAACACCTCCTAACGTCGCCGGATCTTACGTCTATACATACACGTGGGACAATGACCTTGCCACACGTTACGTAATACCTCGCTCTACAAAACCCGACTGACATGGTCAGTCAGGGAGACAGCCTAGAGAGACAGCCTAGAGAAGAGCCAGAAGGTAAGTGACAGAACGGTTCTCCCACCCGGGAACATTGGCCACTAGGTCCCGATGTGCGTTCTGTCACGTTATTATCAACATGTACCTTTTCGACTCATTTTAACCATCAACAATAAATATGGCTGCTGTCGTCTAAACTTCACCCCTGAGTTTTGTCCTCCGTCATCACCCTGAGCTACCATCCGAGGGCCGAGTGAGTGAGTGAGTGAGTATGGTTTAACGCCGCTTTTAGCAATATTCCAGCAATATCACGGCGGGGGACACCACAAATGGGCTTCACACATTGTACCCATGTCGGGAATCGAACCCGGGTCTTCGGCGTGACGAGCGAACGCTTTAACCACTAGGCTACCCGACCGCCCCTCCGAGGGCCGAAATCTACGCCCTTGGACATTTGTATTGAATGTTTGTTTGTTGTTGAACACCGCACTCAGGTATATTCCAGCTATATGACATCGGTCTGTAAATAATCGAGTCTTGACCAGACAACCCAGTGATTGATATTGTGAGCAACGATCCACGCCGTCGGGGTACGATGACACGCAATCAACCAAGTCACCGAGTCTGTCTACCCATTCTATTTAGTTGCCTCTTACGATCAGTACAGAGGAGCAATTCTGACCGCGGTTACCCACGGGGGTTGTGTTGATGATATTGTACTCTCACGCACTCGCATCCGTACAAAGGGTTCCATACTATTGCAATAAAACTTTATATTACTAATCGGAATGTCCTTGTCAGTAGGATCACTATGAGTAACAATGAGGTGCAGTGTGCATTTTGTTGATGCTACAGGAAGTGATGTAAACGGTTACCACTTCTTTGAAACCCACGAGCACAAGTTTGGTGCTGATAAATCTGGAAAAGCTATCAGGATGAACCGGGATACCTACCTACGATCAAAGGTTCCTGGCACTCATAAGGGTGGCAACTCTGCTGACGACTGTCATATGTATCCGATGGGTATCATACAGATCGTATACCATAGCTAAGAAAATGTCATTTGTAACATGTGTCTGGTGTGCACCATACAAATATGAGGACAGCCTGTTACAGGTGTCGGATGGGTAGCGTAATATCGATTTAGGTAATAGCCGGTCCACTTACTGGAGGGCGGTCGGGTAGCCTAGTGGTTAACGCGTTCGCTCGTCACGCCGAAGACCTGGGTTCGATTCCCGACATGGGTACAATGTGTGAAGCCCATTTCTGGTGTCCCCCGCCGTGATATTGCTGAAATATTGCTAAAAGCGTCGTAAAACTATACACACTCACTCACTCCCACTTACTGGTACCTGATTGCTGTAACATAAATATGAAAAATGCAACTTCTGTTATTTGTGCCCTTCTGAATTGTTCGAATCACATAAATTTGATGAATAGCTGGTGATGTTGCGTTCTGTTACAGGTGTCCGATTATTTACACACAGGTTTTATAAGCATACAAACAATGCCACGCTCTCTTACAACTGTCCGATTGTAGATATTAATGTAGGTATTAATTGTAGGTATTAATGTAGATATTAATACATGTGACAATAAACTAATGCAATCGGTTACAAGTGGCCGATAAGTAACATTCAAATATGGCAAATCAGACAATAAACTAAAAATGTTTCAATTCTGTTACAGGTGCCCGATGGGTCACATTTAAACATGTGATATTGTTACAATTCTGTTACAGGTGGCCGATGGAAAACATTCAAATATGACAATGAACTGATAATGTTACAGTTCTGTTACAGTTGCCCGATGGGTAACATCAAACATGGCAATGAACTAATAATACTGCAATCTGTTACAGGTGCCCGATGGGCTACACGGGTCTCCGCTGTGAAATGATTGACCAGGAGTATATTCTCAGCCTTCTCACCAATTCTATCATGTTCGACTGAAGCAACACTTGGGTGAGTGACGTCATGGCTTCAAACAACAGGTCCTCGTTCCACAATGCGATATTAGTACTACGACAATCGTAAGTCTAGGTTACAGCACAGGAATTATGTTAGTCGTAGTGCTCAAGTTGAGGTGTTGAATGGGGCCACGTTCCACAATGCGATATTAGTACTACGACAATCGTAAGTCTAGGTTACAGCACAGGAATTATGTTAGTCGTAGTGCTCAAGTTGAGGTGTTGAATGGGGCCACGTTCCACAATGCGATATCAGTACTACGACAATCGTAAGTCTTGGTTACAGCACAGGAATTATGGTAGTCGTAGTGCTCGAGTTGAGGTGTTGAATGGGGCCACGTTCCACAATGCGATATTATCGTCACGACAATCGTAATTCTTTAATATATTTAGAGTAGTCTTAGTACTAAGATCACTTTGTGCAAGATGATCCACAAACTGATCTTACCGTTGACCTTATATCTATGTTAAAGTTAGGAAGATACAATCGTCTTAGCGCTAAGATCGCTCCATGCGTTGTGATCACTCACGTCGGCTATCATTACAAAGTTACTTATGACAAATGTATTTTCTTTAGAATGATAAACAAAAAACATCCAAGGTGGCTTTGAGTGTACATCAGGGATGGGAGTTCCAAATTATATTTTTATTCTTCATTCTTTATATTCCATACTATAGTTATGACTGCCAATACGTGTCGATAGGGCCTAGGTAGCCTAAATGTAATTATACTACTCAAAAGAAGTTAAGGCTCACCCGATTCTTTCATATTGGTAATGTTAATCTGTCATGGCATGAGAGATTAACTATTGTAATATGAAAGAATCAGGTGATCCTTAACTTCTTTTGAGTAGTGTACTTTGAAGACATCTGAGTAAAGTTGAACCCGGCGCCGTGAACCACGGACTGCCTATTTATTTCACATAATTGCTTACAAAGTACGTTCAGGTTTAAGGTTCGTTGACTCCGGGATGAGAAATGCTAGCTACCGCAATAAAATTGAGACCTTTTAGTTCATTGAAGCGTGGAGGCACTGATATCTGAGAAGCTGGTAATGGCTTCTGTGGTTCATTTGGTTCAAGACAAGTAAGAGATGGCAATAGTTCAGAGATCCAATTACAACAAAAAGAAGGACGTTTTGGGGATTCGACTTCTACATCCCAAGGGTAACACTTGCCGACGCGACGTCAGATCCTCATTATACCGATCGACAAGTGAAGATCCGGGGTAGAATAGGTCTTCAGCAACCCATGCTTGCCGTAAAAGGCGACTATGGTTGTCGTAAGAGGCGACTTGGTTGATGCATGTCATCGATCCAAATTGCGTGGATCGATGCTCATGTTGTCTGGTCCAAACTCGATTATTTACGTCGTCATATAGCTGGGATATTGCTGAGTGCGGCGTAAAACAACAAACAAACAAACATCATACCTATCAAGGCCTCGTTACACACAATCTGTGTTACTCTATGAGAATTAAGATGAGGTTGAAATGTTTGTGAAATGGACCCCGATCAGAACTAAACTTGCCAATTCCATGGAGCTTCTTGGATCGAGTTGCATATTATGTCAGCATTCGGTCCAGGAATCAATTGTCCCTTTTGTTTTCCTAAGAACTTGAATTATTGAAACGTAAAATCTAACAACAGTCAAATATGTGAACGCGTTTTCTTTTCCCCTTTTTTTCATACGTTTTTTATTAAGTTCATATGTTGTCATTTTGTCAGCTGACCGACTAATGACCATCTCTGTTCGCGTCACCTGGGAACTATTGGCGTTATTTGTCTGCACATGTTGCTAGTTTACAGTGTTTTGTCTGTCCGCCGTGGGTTCCCGCTCCTAATACTCCCCCCCCCCCCCCCCCCCCCCACCCCCCCCACCCCCACCCCTCCGGTCTTCCCGACACCCCCCCTCCGGCCTTCCCGACATCCCCCTCCCTTGGCCCGTCGCTGGGATGATTCCAGTATGAACCAGCCTCTTCCTATCAAGGCTAAGGAAATTCGCAACGTATTGTTACATCGTTGGTGGCAATGGGTATGAAAACAAGTGCTAGAAAGCAACACAATTTGGCCATCGCAGAGAAACAGCCTCGGACAATGCCACCGGATAGCGAAAGACGAGACTAAACCCTTTCGCGTCTATGTGGCGTATAAAACAATTTAACAAATATTCTTAAAACAATTTCACAAATATTCTTTGGTGACTATAGAGTCTGGAGGACGTTAGTTCGCGCCCTAAACACACACATTTGTACGTGTATATTTATCGATAAATAATTACAACGCAAAACTATGTTTTAATGGCTGTAAGAAAAAGGTTAGAATCGGAAACATTTTGAAATTGTTGGGTTTTGTTTATATTATTGAGGATATGCACGTAAGTAATGTTGTTTTGCGAGGGTCCGCCGGTTTAAAATATGCGCAATAATTGAGTCGCATACAAACAATGTAACAAGTTTAAACATGCATAGGTCGTGAAACTCGGCGCCTGTAAATCTCATTTTTTTAATGGTAGGTCATGGTTAACTGTTGCGTAGCGTTCTCTGTTTTCATAACGCAGTATTAAAGGGAGTAAGCATAATACAGGTTTGAATCAAACTATAGGTAGGCGGAGCATCATAACTTGTGTTCACTCAAAACAATCTTGTTAAGATTCGAACACAGTAATGCGCCTGGCGAGCTCTCTCACTCTCCGTAATTTACTGCAAAAATAGGGGTCATCAATATTTTGGGGGATATGTGTAATTGTGTGCTCAGTCTTATACAAAACAATCCCCCAAAATATGCATGATCCCTAACTTTTATTGATCAGTATATAGTACTAGAACCATTGAGTAGCCCCGCTCAGCTAAGGCATCTTAGTGCTAAGACGCTCACTTTAACATTGACTTATGACAGTCGCTTCTTGGACCAGGGCCCGATCATCAAGACCTTCACTTGTCTGTATATACGGTCCTACAATAGAATTCTCCGTACGCCCGCAATGAGGCCACCGTGAAATAGCTGTTCAGCGCTTTTTATGTCCTTAAGCACATCTATTCATCCGCAAAGTGTATCGGACGTTGGATGTCGCAATGACGAGCGAACGCTTTGACACCGAAAGCCTAAATCCCAAGATAAAAAAATCGCTGTTAGGATAAACATCATTAGGAATTAGAACTAAGTCTACACAGCGCGTTCAACATGGAAATAGTCAGCAAGACATTCCAATATCATGCTAGGTGTCGTGCATTCACATAGTTTTATATAGGCCATTGGTGCCATGAAACAGAACATAGAGAAAAGCAGCTATTTAAGCACGTGGCTCCCAAACTTTACACATGTTTACGCAGAAAACAAACTTCCTTTTAAACTGAATTTGCTAAATGGGTCCAGCAATTTCTAGCCAAAGACTTTAAATCTGCGAGCAATGGCACTACTTATGATTTTCTTTTGTCCGTCTTTGTTGTGGGATTTGCTGGAAAACAATGCCTTCGCTTTCAAAAATGCGAGACGTAGATTATCGGGTTTTAAGTGCAATGTGCACATTTTGTGAAGGACACAAAATAAGTTGATGTTTTAAAGATTATTATTTCCCCAAATGAAACGTAAGTATTTATATATTTTGATCAGTGCCCAGTTTTTCAGAGGCTATGAGAATTTCCAGAAAAAATGGTTTTCTCAATACACATCTCATCTGACATTTGCCAAACATACGAAATCAATTTAAAAACAAATGTTGCTTTAGTGTCGTGAGGCTTAAAGACTCTATATTTGAGTGTGTTTCTAAATTGATCAACGCATTCCGGCACTTTGAGCTTGCTGACTCAAATGCCTCTCAAATGCTTTTCTGTTTTCTGAGAAAACCTTCCCTCACTCGAGAACAAATGCGACACGACGAACGACAGGCCAACAGTGCCGTTGAAGAAAAGTCTAAAAACTTTGGTAAATTATGATAATGGGGAAATGGAGTGTTTATCAATTGTGTTTACCGCAATAACGCATGGACACACATCGGTATGACCCATGATGGGCGGTAGTGGCGGTTGGTTTGGTCTGGATTTAGTGATCACAAACAGAGCAAATATCCGCTTTCCGTTTATGTTTGATACTTCAAACAGTGCCGCATGTGGGGAACATTACAAAGTAATAGCGAAATACATCTCCACTCGAAAAATAAACAGAAAGACCACAGACAAAGCGGTCAGCGCCGTCGAGGGCAATCAGCGACATCCGGGCGACGGCAGTTATTTAGCCAAATTACGGCTTGGTTGGAGGTAGCGGTCAGACTGGTGTGGGGGCTCAGGAAACGCTGGTTTAAGACCTCCAAATTCAATTATCTTGAGCTTCACTTTTTTTCGATTATCGCGAAGCTACTGAGTTAAACATGGACGATTAGATGTTAAGAAAGTAATATTAAGTTCGTATTAACTGTATCCATAGTATGTTATCCCCCGCGAAGATACTGGTTAGAATTGGTCTTCAGCAACCCTTGCTTGTCCTAAGAGGCGACTAGCGGGACCGGATGGTCAGGCTTGCTGACTTGATTGATGCATGTCATCGCATCCCAAAATGGATGCTCATGATGCCAGTCGGGACTGGATTATTTACAGACCGCCGTCATATGGCTGGTGTATTGCTGAGTGCAGCGTTCAGAAACATGTTGTGTTTTTAATGAATTTATACCGGGATATCGTTAAAACAGAGGATCAGATAATAAACCTGTCCGGATTAATGAGGTTCTTCAATGTCTGGGATGATACAGTATCGAGTCGGTTCTGAACACGCTGTGCCCACACATGCTGTGCCTTATAGCAGGAAATCCGGATTTGCAGGGTTCAGTGATCCATTCATATAATTGTTACCGCTATTTTGACCTTTACGCCCAACGGAATCTGTCTCGATGGATAATTCTCTGGTGTTGACGTTGATATTAGACAATAGAATATAAACTTGATACTGGTTAAATGTAATTTTATTGTATTTTATGACAGTGACTCTGGATTAATGAGGATGTAGACTATCGGCACTATGGTTAACTAGTTGTCCAGACGCGTGGGAATGTGAAGTAATGGTGATCGGATTTGTTAATAGGGACCCGACATGAAGTGTAGGTAAAAGTCGAAGATTTTTTATATCGTTCATGAAGTCATCATCCTTCCACCTTTTCCTGTCCGCTGTAATTTGAGTCTAAATTGCTTGATGATACAGTAACTGAAAATGAGACACGTTTGGTACATGATGGAAAAAAGAAATAAGGCAAGTTTCTGATAGATATCCTAACCAGAACATATAGCGTCGTGCCTTCAGTTTATCTGCCCCTTGCGGATAAAACGCCCCAAATAATCTTAGATTATCATAGTTGTGAAATTTATAATCGGTACAAAAACCGACAGGGCATTCGAGTCTGGACCAGACAATCCAGTGATTGACATCATGAGCATCGATCTAGGCCTGACCACCCGATCCCGTTAGTCGCTTCTTACGACAAGCAAAGGCTGTTGATGACAAATTCTAACCTGGATATTCACGGGTCCCGTAATGTAACGAACATAACCTTTTGACTTGCGACGTCTACTTTCATAAAGACATTTATTGAAATATATCTGTACGAGTTATTATTATAGCTACAGCAGTAGGAGGTAGATTATATTCAATATATAAATAATTCACAGACGCGACTGATGTTATCGTAACATCCATTATTGTTATATCCACTGCAGTAAGCACATTTATTAATAATTCAATGCAATGTGTAATGTCATAAGTAGTGTACCCTGAATATGTAAGAATAGAAAGAAGCTGTATTTGTTATATGTGTCAGTAGCGGAGAGAACGGGATTTGAATGGGTTTGTGCACCACAATACCGAAGGTTGAGCTGTGAACACGGGAATTCGGCTTATATATCTCGTAAACCCACTATTAACACGTGTAACTTATGGCATCTTTATTATGTAACATATGGCAAATTTATCATTAGGTGACGTCACATCACACAACATGACGTCATGATATCCGTACAACATGTCTGGGTCTTTATAAGAAGGCGACGAGACAGTCAGATAGCTAGATTCTTTCATACAGTCAATCACCGTTGTGTCCTAATCGCGGTTATCTCGAAAAAAGCTTGGTCCTGGCGTATTCTTTCTTTATTCACCATTTACGGTTGTATCGAATTTCGGATAACTCGAATTATTTACATAGGTCCCGTTAACTTCGAAACAACTGTATTTGACCGTATATTGTTTGTATCTATATAGTTTGATCATGAAAAGAACCGATTTCTCATAAATGTGTTCTGACAAATTGGGTCGAGATACTCATTCATACACGGCAAAGGGTGATTAAAATAATTTGCTTCATTAACGTCAAACAACTAATTTAGAATTACCCCTTGAACATGAATGTACAATACCACACTAAACACTGGTGCGACTATAACATTTATAAAACACGGCAGTCATCCAGAAAAATATTCCTGAGAATAAACAAAAATATTGCTAGTTTCTATTCTATGCCTTTGAATACATACGTTGTTCCTATTCTTTAGCTATTTATCCCTGTGTGTAGCTCAGGTAGTTAAAGATGACGTCAGACCTAGATAATTAGATATCCACCTGTAATTATTTCCACGTGATGCACGTGCTAACCCCAGTTTCCAAAGCTGGTATGACCTTGCTAATCATGGAGGTTCCCTGTGTTGAACAAGTTACGCGCAAGTAGCTTTAGTTATTGGGAGTCACTACGTATGTTTGGTTTTGTATACGTTTACCACTGTTGCACAACGAATGTAATTGGTTAAGAGGGGGCTGGGTACGCTTTGCCAAGGGTGTGGTGTGAGACACGGATGTATCCTATGTCTTTGTGTTTTTGTTTTGGCTGCATATGCGTTACTAGACCCGATGAAATTTGCTGTTCTAAACTAAAGTCAAACTGTTTGATTTGGGAATTTGAATCCCTTGGGTGTATGCCCAAATGGAAAATTTCATGTCGAGTTTAAAAGATCTACATAATGTATATAGTTTATAAAAACAGCGTTTCATCTAAATCGTGTTTAGGCTTCTGGCGTGGTGGGGTGAAACAATTCATCTAATTCGCCATTGTATGTCGTTTCAAAAACAACGCTTAGCTTAATTATGGTCACCAAGCCTGCTCTATGTATCGTCTGGTTTTGTAAGAACCTCCTTAGAAGTTTCAGTCCGGATACATGATACGAACATAAACAAATTGGCGTGGTTCTGATGGCTCCAATCTGGGATTTAGTGGTCAAGCTGCCCCTAAAGTAGACAAAACAAAGTCTGAAAGCATGATTACGAGCTGAACGTATCCCTTTTGATTGCTAGGTGTTCTTTGTACCCAAATCAAAGCTCATACAGAAACATACACCATGTGGTGCTACCTTACGTTCCAACCAATCACACGCTTCTTGCAAACGCCCAGTAACGAGCTCTCATTTACGACTTCAAAGCTTTTCGACTGTTATATGTTTTGAATCTCTTTCCAGGTGACCGAACGGAAAACGCAGACGACTATTGGTTGGCATCAATTGTGGCGCCGTAGCCTGTCATTCGCCTCACTCGCTCCTTGCTGTCTTCTGCCAGCCGGCTTGTTGTCCCTGGCAACCAGCTGGACCAGACCAGGCTGCCATCTTCCGGCTAAAACCTACAACTGATAGGTGGCGCGCCGTCACCAGAAGGACACGCGTCTTGGTGATGGGTATCTTTAAAGCGACGTATCAAGGATGTGAGGGCCTTCCTTTGAAGTATGGTAATTGCAGCTTCAGTTTCGCCACGGTTTGGGAACGCTTGCTGCTGTTACAGTATTTTCTTCATATAAGTCTCTCCCTTCTCCATCCCTGCCCTTTATTCTTCAGGCTGCAAAACGGTCATGTTTTGGGAGGAACGGTGGTCTGACTGGAGTGAAAACCCCTTTCAATCTAGAAGCAGCCATATTTTCACCAATAAATTTCCCGCCACTTGGCTCACGTGATATGGTGTCGTCTGATTCCCTCCCGATCCTCGCTCTTCCAACCACGTGATTTTCGTGCATCCTGTCTTATTTAATTTGCTGTAAATCAAGAAACTGACGGACCAGTCTTCATATAATTTCTGTATGTCTAATAAGGAGTGTTTCTGCAATGGTGGAATGTGGGACGCGATCTGCACGTGCATGTATACCCGGAGAACACGTGTAGAGAAGGAGGATGTCGAAAGGAGAACGAACTATGGTGTCCTCAGACTGACGTGGTATATATATTGTGCTAAGTTGGGCAAAATCATCAATTCAACTTCGGTTTGTTTGAGACCTTAACGAGCTCCGACACACTGCGTGAATCTCGTCCCGGAGAGTTGATAATTGGGTGCTTTGACGTCACCTGCTGGATGAACTTGGGCGGACCATTTAACATGTTGACCCGCCCCAATTTATCACGTGATGTTTGTCACGTGGTTACGGGTAACGGGTACGGTTGTGAGCACACGTGACTCGGTTTGTCTAAAGACTATCAGAAAATGTCCCGTAGTCTTTTTAAGGATTTCATAACATGGGACATTGTTGGTATTCACGGATGAGAGACAGTGGTCATATTGTTACTATTGAAATCTGTTACTTTTTAAAGACAGAATCATGACAGAATCAGGAGGTTCGCTCTTGGAAGCCGAGACCCTACATCGTCTTTTATCTTAATGGTGTCAGATCTTTATGATGTAATAACATCACTGGTCTAAATGTCGACCTTTAGGTGAAGCTGACTGTCATAATGACCTGACCTTGACCTGGACTCTTTTACATGACCTTCTAGGGTCAAGATGACTTTTTGAGCGATACCTTTCTCATCACACGACCTCTCACCTTTGGTGAGACAACAGCTAGATTTGCCTCAGGCTTTAGTGCTGGTTTGACCTTCGATTTGTATGTATATTTGGCTCTTGAGTATTATGATTACGACAAGGGGACGGAAACAATCTGAACTGAATACGCTCGCATTGTTAAGTAGAATCATTTCAAAGGAACGGAGCGCCCTCGAATAAACAGATATTATAAAAATATATTCAGTTTGCAAAAGAAAGTATCATGTAAAGTCTTTTTTATGTATTAAGCAATGTGCAACTTCAAAGTACATATATTTCAACACGCACAAGTTTCCTCCAGTTTAACATCATTCAAAGCAAACTGAAGTGAAAAGCAACGTTTGTTTTGTTCGCGTGCGCTCCTTTACTGTAGTCTCTGCACAAGATGGATAGTTTCGCAAACGATGGTTGTGGCACTTAAGGGGTTATTGTAATGTATTGTTGTGAAAGTTAGTGAAATAATAGTTTACGCTACCATATTTACAAATGGCAATATAGAGACTGGGTAGAGGACTGAAAATGGCTGAAGTACAAGAGAACCAAATGTGAGTTATATGCCTCAAAGTTATTTTTGTAGATTTTAATAACATTGACAACCCTCTTTAAACTTCCCTTCCCTTCTCCATGCACACGTATTATTAGCTCAACGATGAATTAAGGGACCTACAACTATAAAAATATTTTATCAACATGCACATACTACCCTGTCGATCGCGGCTGGGGCACCTCGCACCTCGGTCGCAACTTGGGATATTTGTAATGATTACTAGTACAAACACAAACGTTTCCACGTTCGCGACCGAGACGCGAAATATTCGCGCCCTGGTCGCGATCAATAGGGCGTTTGTTTTTCAACAGTGTATTCGTACCTGGGCTGTAAAAAGTACTATGTTATATTTGTTGGTGTATTGTTTTTTTTTAATATATTCAGATTATTTGCCTTGAGCAAAAAGAAGTTGATTTTTTTATGACGTAATTTGCTTGTTAAATGGTGTCCCGTCTTCTTGTAACGTCCAGTGTATCCATCTTCCCCTATTAAGCAATCTATGTCAAAATCTCGCGCATTACACTACAGAGGCACGTGCGAGAAACGATAGGTTTATCCACCCAAATTGGCAATATTGTGAAAGCTGGCATTGCATTTCTTTGCCGTAAATTGAAATCGGATCGAATTGTTTACTAGTTGCATATCATTTGCGATTTTGCGACATTGGTATGCCGTTTACTTCGCGGAATACGTTTTCTTAAGCCATCTTAACACTTTGGCTGAAGCACATCTATGATTACGATACGATATTACGTAAATAAGTAGCTTTACTGAATGGGTGTCAAAATGAAGCACTGTGCCACTGTAGAAAAAGGCGTAACGACACAGCTGATTGGATGAGAGATTAAATGCATTCGAAATATACCAGCGCATTTTTTTTAATTTATACCATGCTAATCTATCTTTGTATATGAAAAAAATAATAACAAATTAATAACTAATTGATTAGGTTGATACAAAATCACCTACTCACGTTGTGTATGTATTACCTTGCCGTCATTTAGGGTATGGTTCTTCATTGTGGAGAGGTTAATAAATTGTCAGGGCGGTGTGTTAGCCTAGTGGTTAAAGCGTTCGCTCGTCACGCTGAAGACCCGGGTTTAATTCCCCAAATGGGTACAATGTGTGAAGCCCATTTCTGGTGTCCCCCGCCTGGATATTGCTGGAATATTGCTAAAAGCGGCGAAAAATCCAACTCACTCACTCATAAATTGCCATGATATTGCTGAAACGTTACCGATAGTGGAAGCGGGCTGTGGGTTTTGAATTATAAAAGCGTTCGGTTTGTAGTCGAATGCTTCTGTTTCTATTACAAACAACATTTCCTATTGGTTGCGGTTCACAGAGTATACTTTATCAAAACTGAAAATATAAATGTATACATAGGTTTAAGGCCTACCTTTGGTTCTGGGTTTATCAAAACAGTTGTGCCTATTGCTTACATGGTTACTTAAGGGTGATTGTAAACTCCAATACGACCATCTGTCAATTTTAACACCTTTCAGCAGAAATGTATCTTTGTTGATGCTGGATCTGACAGATGGTGCATTCAGACATACATATGTGCTACTGTCTGGCCGCGTAACTATACTGATGCTTTTCTTTTAATCAGAGGCAGGGAAAAGATGATTTAAACTGACATAATTGTTCACTCGTGAATGAAAATATACCTGTCGTGCGAGTTATCTCCCTTCGATACGACCTTCGGCGCTCACTGTCAGTTGTCCAATAATATTACATAATTATATATCTCAATGTACAAAATATCTCACAGATATACAATCTATAGCTTTTATCTGTCTGCAGATAGTGCTGCCTCGCATATCATGGTATTGTTTTGTTCATACGATATTCAAGACAACTTAGTCTGAAGTCATTCAAGGGGAGATAACTGCGTTCTGTACTTCTTATGAACTCTATATGACGAAGATTGACAGAGTGTCTCGTGCTAATGTGGATGTACAAAGTCTTTCTTATAAGGAAATTAAAGGACAGTTAATTTTCTATCTCATTGTTTTTATCTTTTCTCGCAATCGCCTTGATAAATCAGATAACTCTTTACTCACTGACGCGTGGAAACCGATGATGATGATGGTGATGATGATGATGATGATGATGATGATGATGACGATGATCATGATAACGATGATAATGCTGCTGCTGCTGCTGCTGCTGCTGATGATGATGATGATGAAATGTTCGGCCTTTTAACTGCTGTATGACAAGCGATAAAATACCACTAGCAGATCCAGAGCTGATCTGTGTCAACGAGTGCCTTTACTATCTGAAACGTTAAATTCTATTCCAACTGAAGTACGGGCGTTCACCGTGTTTCTGCTGATTTAGGCCCAATTAAGTTCCAAATCCGAAATCAGAAATGTCTTGCAGGTGATTTTGATTTACAGACAATGTTCCCACGTTTACACTTCGCCAACAGTCCACAAACATGCAATCAAAATTGTTACGCATGTTAGGCTATACAGCTTCGGCTTACAAGACAGCGTTTGGCGGAACATATATTTCACCCTCAGACTCGCGTGTAAAGATCTGTAACCCTCAGTACGTTAACTGTTCACTGGAAGATAGCACAGATGCTTTAACAAATGTGGCATGAAGCAATTTATCTATGGCTGCGTTGCACCCCGTGGCGAGTCTCAACTGTAGCAGCGCGTGTTATTATAACGTTTTAAGTCGACACGGCAAAAACCCTCCCTGCATGAATACAGAATATAATTAAGAGAGTCAGCCCTGCCTGATAAACGACGTGTTTTCTGAAACAAGACGGCTTACATAAATTTCAATATTTGAAAAAAAACATGCCCTGAAAACTGTTCATGCTGCTGGTTTGTTCATCATTACATTCCAAGGTCATCTTCAACGTTCCATAACGCGGGGGTGGAGTTGGAAAATGTTAATTATAAGGGAGGGCGGAACACCAGGAAGGTCTGTGCGTCTATTAAAACGTGTCAGGAAAAGTGTCAAATATGAAAAAAAGATATTAGTGCATTGCTCGTGCACCACGCGGAACCATATCGGAGCTGTAAAGATATTTTATTTTCTTAGGTCGCGTTGTTAATGTTTTAATATAGAAGTTATGGATATATATAATTCCACTCGCCGATGTGTGAATATGTAAAGAGGATATCTGTATATATGCATATCTGTATTCCTACCAGTATCGGCCGCCTCCGGGGTCCGGGGTTCGAACCCCGACCCCGACCGCGACCCAAAAGACGTTAAAAGATCATAAATGTTGTAAAACCTTGCTTGGTGCTCGGCATTTAGGGGCTAAAACAAGGACTGGTCGGCTGGGAGTCAGTATACTGTGTCTGAGTGGGTATTCGTGTTAAACTGGTATCTCAATGGACAAGCACTATGGAACCGGTATTATTCCTGACTAGTACAAGCACACACACACACACACACGCACGCACGCACGCACGCACACACACATGCATGCACGTTGCTGTGTACGTGCAATAATCTTCAACGTCACGTTTAACCACATTTAACCTCATCACCTTAACGCTACCAGTTTTACCCCTTTCCTTCCCGGTTACCAAATTAATATGTCTGAGTCCTAAATCTACTTGAAAATCATACACAATCCAGTTTAAATATATAATTGGAATAGGCAGTTTCACTGAATCTTAGACTCGCGAATAACAGTAAATTTACAAGAATAACAACTGGTGTTAACTGGCCCAACCGGAAATACGTATACCCGTCGTGAGGGAATGTCAAGGCCACGACACATCAAACCTGACCTCACGTTGTGAAAGAACACCATTGCCCGCAACATGACAGAACAATATCACCACCTTACGAAACTAGATACATTACGATTTTCAATAATTTACTTAAATGCGATTTGAACATGAGAGTACGACGGCATCCAAGGTAAATAAACGTGTCTAGACAGGGCAAACCAGTGATCGATAACATCAGCAACAACCCACACGGCGGACCACAATCAGAAAAGTGACACATTTTGATATCCCGCTCCTTGGAGTAGGGGGACCTCTTCCGCCCCGCATCCTCACGGGGACACCCATTTTACGATGAATGTATTCAACATCAGCACTAACAACATCAGCACTACAACAACGTCCGTACTGGTATGACGTAACAAATTCAGGGCGACTCAAATTTAGCTTGTTTTTGCAATTCATCCTCAGAAAGTCGAGTGATCCCGTCTCAAAGCATATGCTGGAACACCACTCGTCTAAACCTCGGGCGGTTTTAACTGAGAAGGGAAAATATGTGTGGCTTTATTTCCCAAACAAACATGCTATGTTGAGAACTGACGATTAGGGTTGCTAGTATATAAACACTTAAAATGGGGATAGTGTTTCACATGTCGAGGATTCCTGAAATGTCAAGACTCAGTGGGTAGAACGCGAGCTCGGGAAGTGAGTAAATTAATGATCAGAAAAACGTTAAGTATGTAATAGTGTATGTGTCGTGTCATGGAAAAGGGGGGCTTTGCGACGGTGTCCACCCCTAGAACATATCAAGCGGAAGTATTGGCAAGCACCAACGTTGTTGACAATATTACATTGGTATGGGAAAAGGTCATTTTGAAATTGGTAGTTCATGGAGAATATGTTAAAGGGTATATTAGAAGCTGTGGTATGAGCATTTTCTTTTTAGAATCAGAGAGTAAATAAGTTGAAATCCATAAGTCTTTATTCAGTTTATGAGCGAGGGTGAGTATGGTTTTACGCCGCTGTTCGCAATATTCCGGCAACATCACGGCGGGGGACACTATATATGGGCTTCACACACATTGTGACGATCGAACTCTTTAACCCACCGCCCCAGTTCATTGCTCAAGACATAAGGGGTGAGGCGGAATGGGGTTTAACGTCGCGTACAAGATTATTGCACTTATGTAGCGACGTGCGTTGCGTGCATGCGTGCGTTGCGTGCATGCGTGCGTGTGTGTGTGACTGCTTTCCGGAAAAATGCCGTTTGTTTTAAGTGTTAGCTCAATGAGATACTGTCACGGAGTTTAAACATGGATGCCCTACTCGGACACAGTATATTGACTCCGAGCCAACCAGTCCTTGTTCTATCCCATTAATGTCGAGAGCCAGGCTGGGTAATAACAAGTAACATCTTGAAACGTTTTTTGGTATGACGCGGACAAAGATCGAATCCCCGACCTTCTGCTCCCCGGGGAGACTCTCTATCCACTAGATCCCCGATATATGGATTAAAACTTATGTATTCTCTATAAACAGCGTTTCTGGTATACGCAGCATTTTTAAGGCTACTTCTTGCTCCTTCGTGCGGTTCGTCTGAAATACATGACCTCCACACCACAATATGACATCACCTTAAAATGAGGCAGGCCACGAAGTAGCCTCGAACCGATAGGTATATAGATGAAATCTTTAGATCTTGTGTGTCGATATTTAAAAAAAGATACGTTTGAGTATGTGAAGATTTGTTGGATGAAATAACAAGTGAAATAAAATATTAAAGTATACAGTACAAGGCAACGGAGTCAGTGGGAGGGGAAAGGGTTAACGCCAATCTGGAATACTAAAGCCGTCTCTCGGCAGTTTGCAAATAAAAGATACTGGGAACACGGACTCGTGGCACAAGTTTTCCTTGTTTTGTATACATGTATTGAAAAAGCGCTGTAAATATTCAGTTCCAAGAACCGAGAGTCGTCATACTTTGAATCCAAAAGAAACCGGAACAAGGATGTGTTTATCGCCATGTTCATGGCCGTAGACATTTCACAAGCTATGATAGACACAAGAGCGTGTTCTCTAATCTGCTTAGTCCCAGAACTTGTAATACTTTAGCTGACAATCGCTAATACATTTTGTTTGATGTACGTTCTCTCTTTGGACGTCTATACGACTGTTTCATGTTTACTTTCACTGTAATATGGTTCAAGCAAGATGTTTGTCATACGGACTGGTGAAGATCGAGGTAAGGCTGAAGGGTTCAGATTAATGGGGTAAAACGTAATGAATGGGGATTAATTTCTTTATTTCCTCCAGAATTTACAGTCGAGGATTTACAATATCTCTGATATTTCTCGGAGCAAATGCATGGTGCGTGTATTTACATAAATAGTGAGTGAGTGAGTTGTGTTTAACGCCGCTTTTAACAGTATTCCAGTTATATCGCGGCGTGTCAGCTTAATGTGGGAGGAAAGCCCGAAGTAATGCAGGTCTCAGACGTTTATCACTTCGGTGAAACCCACGAGCACGGGTATGGTGCTGACAAACCTAGAAACATAATCGGGGCGAACCAGGATTCGAACCCACAATCATAGGTTTCTGGCGTGTCCACGGGACGCAACTCTGCACAGCGAATCGCGGCGCCTTAGACGACTGGGCCACCGTGCCCCTTACATAAATAGGATAGATATATAAATATATATTGATTATCAGATATGTACACAAGTGTGAGCTATTGCGATACAACAGATGTAAAGAAGCGATAATCTAATGCATTTTCTAATATGTACTCACGGAGTCAGTGGGAGGGGAAAGGGTTAACGCCAATCTGGAATACTAAAGCCGTCTCTCGGCAGTTTGCAAATAAAAGATACTGGGTCAGGCAAACCAGTGGTTGATAACACGAGCAACGATTAACCTCGCCCACGTCATCCCTGTGAGCCATTGTGACCACGCGATCCTCAATGGCGCTGGCTCTTGTGACAAGTCAAATACTGACAACCCATTGTTCCCAATGCGCATTAGCATTGGGATATGTATTTTCCCGCTGTTGTTTCTACAACCGAGTGAGTGAATGTTGTTTAACGCCGAGCCACTAATATTCTAGATGGACACGACGGCCAGTTTGTCTGGTCAGGACAACCCAATGGTTGATATGATCCGCAACGTCTAGCGCCTTCGGGGTGACACGGAATCGACCGAGTCGCTGCCACCCGATCCGATATAGACAAGCAAGTGTTGAGGATCAGTTCTCAGCCGGATCCCCATGTGATTGTGAGTGAGTATGGATTTACGCCGCTT